ATTTAGAAAATATTTCTGAAAAGTGAAATTACTTATGTAAATCCAGTGATCAAATGACACTCATTTATTACCCAGGGTGTGTTACGCACTAAAACAAAGTAACAAAAATCTCAATGGTTCTGCATTTTGTTAACATATACTTGTCCTCAATTGTTTTGTTTTTTTTGTTTTTTTTTTGTTTGTTTTTTTGCTCATGAGGAAAGTCTGAAAGGCAGACTTTGCATAATTGTATGTGAAAATAAATATGCTCTTCTGCTATTGTGCCCATGATAGTGTCTAGGAAAAGGAGTACGATGAACCACAACTGACCAGGTGATTATATACTGTATTGTATACATGTAACAATGAGTAACCAAAAAAAATAAAAATAAATAAATAATAAAAAAATCGAACCATTTGAAAAAAAAAAAGCAGAAAAAATAATAATGACTTTGGACAGCAAATGCATACATTACTATTTTTTCTGCATTTTAAATTATGATTTGATTATTTACTTTTTATTAAACTTATCCCATGCAGTTCCACCAGGAGCAGTCTGTTACAGGATATAATATTATATCATTACATAGCTGAAAATCAGGATTTCATTTTATTAAACAATTTTCTTGTAGTAATACTTCATTTATTTTATTTATAAAAGCCATAAATAGTAATCTTCTGGATTCTAGGACATTAAATTGTTTAAAAAAAAAACTTGTATCTTGCAAAAAAGTGTCCACAAATCTGTCAATTCAGCATCAGTTCTGTTGCTGTCCTATAATTTGACTTTAAATTGGCGTAATTATCTCCCAACTGTAAGATAAAGGAATGATGTCACAATTACTCACTGATAAGGTTTGAAGGACTGAAAGATGTGTATGCTCTCTCACTGAGAAAATATCTATTTATTTTGTATTTTGGAAATGATTTTGTAAATTGTCAAAACTTTTCCCACAATATCAAAAGGAAGCCAGCATTTATCACTGATCACACAGTGGGTTGTTTAAAAGTCTGTTAGTGCCATGCATAACATTTATGCTAGCAAGTGGAGTTTTTGGCTAAAATGGTAAATTCTGTTACCATCTAACTCTGTTACTCTGGTACAATTGCCTAATTTGTCTGTAAAAGAGTTGACAAACAATAATATAAAGAAATTATTAATCTGAAATCATTAAACACTGAATTATTAAAATATAATTTGTTTATAAGATACTGGAAATAATTTATCTTGATCAAAATGTATCTCCAATTAAATCACAGACATCTTTTTCCTGCTGTACTGTAACCCCACCAATAGATGGGGCTTCATAGACACCCCATATGCCTTCAAAGCCAAGACAGATCTATAAGGCATACTATAATTTATTTAACTGCCAACGAGTGGCCTGTGTAAACGCAACATGGTTACAAGATTTGTGGATAGAGTAGAAAGAAGTGGCTGTGGAATGGCTTGGCTATAGTAATAATAACCAGACAGGTTTACAATAGGAGACTTAAAGCGATAAAGCACCCTTTCAAGATGCAACTGGGTGACCGTTTGGATGGAGAAATCAGCTGAACTGGGTCATATGCTAATCTGTAAAGTATTTTACTCTCTATTCATAAAATACTGAATGCCCCTGAAGAGAGCTTAGGCTGAGCCATCACAACATGCCCAGAGTAAAATACGCAAGGAGCTTAACAAACAGAAGCTGAAATGAAGGCACAAAAGAAAATACTTGATAACAATTTATTTGCCATGTTTCCTTTCTCGGTCTATCATAGGAAAGAAATATGGTATGTGGTTTAAGCTTATTGGGAGAATAGCGATATCATGTGAACATAAGGACAAATGGGGGAGGGCTGAGTTCATGTGATGGGTAAGAATTGTGACATATATTGAAAGACAATGAAGGCAAGGGGTAGTTAAATAAATGGAAGAAATATATGTGTTGGGGGAGAAAAAGTAAAAGAGAGAGAGAGAGAGAGTAAAGTATTAAAGGTCTCAGTACTGGTCAACAGTGTGAAAAGGCCATGCCAGTCTAGATAAGGATCAGTGGGGTTACATGCCCATGAGGCCAGGGGCTGTCTGCCCTCACATAGGGGGTCGCACTTGGTGCCATATCAGAGAAAGTGCCGAAATACACAAAGTAATATGAGCTAAATAATCTTTGCCTCTCACTCACAAGAAGAAGAGAAAGGAGGGAAAGAAGAGAAGAGAAGAGAAGTGAACCACAGTCAATATAGGCCTACATCAAAACCTGCAGTAAGTGGGTTAAGTGGCCGCAGAGAAAACACACATCATTTTGCTTGACATATGTAACATATCACAATATGGATTTTCAAACTTGAAGCCTGTTTAAATACAGTAAGTGCTTGCCTTTCCTATGTTGCCTGTTGCATGATACAATTAAGCAGCCTGCTGAAGCATATTTGCCAAAAAATTTGGCTAAATTTTATTTTCCAAGAAAGGATCTCTGAGTCATCAAGTGGGCCAATATCTATAGATTTATTTAACAATAATAATACTAATAAAATAGACAGTGTATACTCGACTAGTCTTTGCTGAACTCAATAGGACAATGCCACAATGATTAGACGCCGTTGCCTGTTAACGAACACAACATTTTTTATTTATCTATCGTGAAAAAGAAACGGATATACACTACAAGTCACACCGTTGACAAGAATCGTATTAATAGGCAATAATAACAATATACTATTTACTATATATATTCTTAGCCTATATCAATTCCGTAAGGAAAATACATTTCTTAAGCCAAATTCGAAAATCGTTTTAAAACCCCATTATGAAAAGCATGCGGTGACGTAAAAAATAATATTAATTTAGCTCTTCAACAATATGATTTAATGATAGGCCTAATGAAAATTCCTAATTCTTGTTATAACAAGTTTTAAGTTAAAGGATGTAACAAAGTTCTCAATTGTACTACTCAAAAAGTAGGCATATGAGTTAAGGGTGTGACATCGCTAATTCATGAACGCTGAAGAAATGGGTTTTCCAAATGTCAAAGTTGTTAACACGTTCATGTAAACGAAAATCCTAGAAAATACATCTGCACACAAATTTTATCATCAGACGAAATGGACGTTTATTTATATATTTATTGATTGGCCTATGTTGTTATTAGGCTAAAATTACCTTTTATCTTCACGTAGAAATTCAGGTTTAGGACACTTTTCCCCAGTCATCATCTCAATGGTAAAAAATCCCAATCAGCCTGAATTCACCTAAAAAAATAAAAATAAAACCGACAATGACTCCTGATTGTATACGAAGTCCACCACAATGATAATGTCTAATAATTATTAATATATTCATATAGCAAAAATATGGAACAAAAACAATAAAATTATGCTAGGGCCTTTAAACTTATTTTTAAAATCCAAGATTTTCACCGTTGCACTCCTGCAAATAGCTATAGCCTAGGCCAATTCTTTTTTTAAGCCTATTCATTTTGTGGATTGTATGAGTTTTCTATTTGCTTTCCATGTATTAACATAACGGAAGTAGTCTGAATCTGAAGTTATTTACCAATTTAAATGTAGCCGGAAGATTATTAGGCCGTGACTTCGCTTATTCATGATCATTAAAATAAGTTTAGACTGTGTTGGGTAACGGGTTTTCTTTAGGCCAGAATAGCCTCGTTATTTATCTCAAACTAAGATTTGACATGCTGTCCTGAAGCGATAGCCTCAAATCGCAGACATTTTAGAACAAATAAAACAATAATATATCATATATATATATATATATATATATATATATATATATATATATATATATATATATATAAAATTTTAAAACTTTATGCATTATTTTAGGTAATTATCTTTTATTTTCATTTAGTTGGGACAATATTTTAATTAAGTGTTGCAAAACACATGCTGTAATAAAAATTGTCGCAACCTATTTTGCTTATTTGGCATGATTAAAATCACATAGCTTTTCAAATTAATTTTAAGTAAAAAGTAGGCTATTATTCAACATAAGTGAACCAAAACAAATATATCACGTCACACCAAATGAAGGTGATATTAAGAATCAAGCAACTGCTATGTATTTACACTTGTGGACCCATTTAGCATGGATTTGTTTTTGTTTTTTATGCTTCGCATAACACACTCAAATTCAATATATAACCGCAGGGTTTTTGACTAAATTTTAAAGAACCTTTGATGCCAGAACTTGTTTAATGGATTTTTTTTTATTGATAAAGTATGTTTATGAGTTGTTTAATTCATACATTTAAATTAAAATTAATAATGAACAAACAAAATGAAATAAAGCTAAAGCCACACAATTAAGGGAACCCCAAGCGCGTGACAGAAACCTTTAAGGTTCTAAAAAAAAACCTTTGAAAGATCTAATTTTTTATTATTATTTTTATTTATTATTATTAGTATTATTTAGTATTATTATTTCGTGCCATTATGAGGTCCTAATGTAGCATATATTTATAATGAACTTTTCAACATATAAATTATTTCGAATTGCTTTCATTTTTTTATTCCTAATTTGAATTTCTAGAATGATATATGCTTGCAAATTAGCTACATGCACTCAAATAACCAGGAAACCTTTTTTTTAAAGAAGAAAAAAAGAAACCTAGGCTAAATGCATAACGCAGCCTATTTGTCCAATCAGTGTTCGAAAGATTATTTTTAAAACGATTTTCATGGGTCAATAAATAAACGTCTGGCTGATGTAGCTAGAAGGTTTAGTGTTTACAGATCGTTGCAAAAAAAAAAAAAAAAATCCGGAATCTTTAGTTGTGGTTTAAATATCTTATTTGACTTAATTGAACGCATAAACCAAACACAACATATCCCGGGATGCCCCGACGAAGGCTGTCTAGTTGCCTGCATGCCATACAGTGGCGTTTGCTGTAACGTCGTTGTGATGTAGCAACCCATCCGACCAATAGACGCAGCAGCATCCGATTCCACGAGATCCCCAGCTGACGCGATGCGCTGAACCACTATCTGTATTTTGATTTGCTCTCTAATTGACCCACATACAGCTCTCTGTGACAGGGGTCCCACTGACCCTGAGGCACGACCAAAAGCGATGTCGAACCGGAGCCGGTAAAACCCTTTCACGAGTAATCCCATTTGCTATTGTGATCGTCCAATAGCAGAATGCCCTCCGCTTGTTAAGCATTTGACTTGACTTGGATTTTTCTTTAGCCCACTATACAGCGCTCGCTTCTCTCTGTAGCCCACTGACGCCGTGGACGCACGGAGGATTTCGTCATACTGAAGCGATGGTTGAGCGGGGATATCCGAAGAGAAGGGATTCGTTGCCTTTTGCTTAGAAGTATTCTTGAATCACCCGCCGGCGGCTGCTGTTACTGGTAGATTTTGTTCGAGAAATGCATGACAAAAGCCAACCACAGCATACTTCTCCCACATCCAGGGGCTCGTCGTTTTTTATCGAGAATATACTTGGCACGTGTAGGACAGACAAGTCTGTGCGTCCTATACAGGATGGCGATGGCACGGGCAGAGAGATTGTTCTTAAGGGCAGCAAGGCGTATCGGAAAGAAATGTGCAGTCAAGCATCCAGCACAGGCGTCAAGACAGAGATGTGTCGGAGCACACCGATTCTGGGGTGGTATGGACGGGAAACCCTTAAGAGTAAGTTTACAGTTCAAAACTCCTCAGTTATTGTGAAAAATTCAATAATAGCCAAAGTGAAAAACTATAGAGGTTGCATAAGCAGAACAGTGATCATACGTGGATGACTTAATTTAAATGAGTGCACACAACAAATTGGCTTTGCTTTTCGTTGATGAAACAGGCGGACTTGCTCATTATTAGTTCCTATTCATTATTCTCCGTGTTAGTACAGCAGCAATTGTTCCTCTGACAGGTCCACATTAGTTTTAAGCCTCATTAGGTAAAACCAACAAAAGCAACTCGGATGCGCAGAGAGCCGAGTCTCAATGAAAGACTTCCCAAACTCGTTAAAAGCTTAAGAGTGCAATTGGTTTCTCTGATTCGTTAACTCTGCAAAGCCATGAAAGCCACAGGGAGAAAGTTGGCTGCTTATAGACTGATACACAACATGCACATCAACGGGCACGGGCAGAACACATTTTTGATATCACAATGGCAACATCTTTCTGATCAAATACATTGCGCATGCATTTCTTAAATAGCCTACTTATACACGTTCATTTCAATCTCTATTCAGGTCCAAGAGAAGAAACCCGCAATTCCAGTGAACACTGCCGCAGCGACAGGGACACCCCCGTAGCCTCTGAGCTTCTTGGTGGAGCAGACCGAAAAACGAGCGAGTGTGTGGTTGATGAGGGAGAGGACGCTCCACAGCTCTTCGATGAACGTTCGGGTCCCGACACTTCCGAGTCAGGCTCAGCCCGGAAGAAAAAGACCCGAACTGTGTTCAGCAGAAGCCAAGTCTTCCAGCTAGAATCCACGTTCGACATAAAGAGATACCTGAGTAGTTCTGAGCGCGCGGGACTCGCGGCCTCCTTGCACCTGACCGAGACACAAGTGAAGATCTGGTTCCAGAACCGCCGAAACAAATGGAAAAGACAATTGGCCGCGGATTTAGATGTTGTTAATTTTAACCACAACTCCCAACGGATTGTACGGGTGCCCATCTTGTATCACGATAAAACAACACCCATGTCAACACTCAGTTTTAACGTGTCTCCAGTCTCGCCACCAATCATGGGCTTCTCGAATTCAGTGAACTATCCGTTATCGTCCTTTGCTCATTCAATGAATTTAATAACATCGCAGATGACAGGCCTTGTCTGATCTTGGGAAAATGACATACAGTATTGACAATTGAAACCCATGACAATTATCATCAATTGGTGCAATAACTGATCATGCTGGAAACTGCAGCATATTCTGCATCCAAAGAAAAGAGAACGCCTATCACAAGAGAGAGAGAAATTTGTGTTAATTGCCACTGTTATGTCTATAATATATCTTCTGTGCATGGGGGCCCTCACATGTATGCAAATAAGGGCCACACTTGCTTTGTGCAAATATAGGCCTATTTTAATTCAGAACCACTGATTTATAAGTTGTCACTTTTCACATTATACATTTTAATAAACGAATCCAGTAAAAGTAATATGATTTTTCTGTAAATGGGTCTCTAAGACATTTATATGAATGTGCTATAGGACTTCACGGGACAGCTTTAAAACCAATCATCATGCAAAATTTATTTTCACAGGTGTCCAGATGATCTGGATTACTTTGGGTATATTTTCTAAACAACTGAATCAAAAAAAAAAACAGTTTTCAAAGGATACTATCACTATTTACAAAGAAAAATAGGTTTGGTTTAAATATAGGCCCTCTTATGTGCAGTCCGTTTTTACGGACACAACAGAAAAAGCAATACTAAATCAAAACACGGTTGAATGTAATATGTACAGTTTACACTAAATAATTCAATTTAAATCGAATAATGCATAATTGTGTAGAATATCAAATGTATAGGCCTACACGAGGCCTACAAATAAATCTCATGAAAATAGCTACTCTATTAGCCTACTGGGCATATTTACTCAGACAACAGAATAAGTACTATTTAGCCTAAATAATGTTGTTTGGAACAACATTTTCGTCGTAATTAGACATATGCAATCATATCATTATAGTTTACAATGATTTCAGAAGTATTTCAGGGTCTATTTTGAGAAGAAAAAAAAAACACGGATAAGAAAAACAAGAAGAAAAGACAATAAAATCGTAATTGTGGAGACTGAATGAGGGTTCAATAAAATAATATGCATTACAACATTATCGTCCATGTATGCTTTCAATGTCCAATACATAATGATTAGGTAAATTATCAAAGAGGAAATACGACTTAAAAATAACTTGAACGGAAAAATTGAGGGTCATCGTTCAGGCTGCGCGGCTACGATATTTCGAAAGAATCACATTGGGGGAATATCTAATTAAACTTTGGTAAAAAAAATAAATAAATAAAAAAAATTACAAGATTTTTATTTTACACACTAATTAAGTTGCAAGAAGTATGCCTAAAAGCATTATTTTAATAGCCAGATGAGATAAATAACTTGAAAAAGTCATAGCTCAAGCTCCCTTTCTTCTTAAACTGACACCCCACAAGCATCATCAAAAGAGCTGGCAAAGGCCGAAAAATTGGCCTTTTCTGAAGAGCACTCGTTTAAAACAGTGAGCAGTGTGATTCATATAGGCTATGTGTGCCAGATGTCTGGATAGGTCTGAGCTCTAGCTCCCACCCCCCTCTGCCATTGGCCACCGTGCTGTCTGATTCTCGTGACCAATAAACGATGGAGAATCGTATTCTTCCGGTCAGTGGACTAACAGTCTAGGCGAACGCAGCAGCACTACACGTCGTGGAGCGATGGTGCTCGGAGAATCGAGACGTTAGTTTACGACGCGGCAAAAAAAGAAAAAAAGAGACAAGAACAACGAGGACCCCGCATCTAACGGAGAATATGAGCAAGGAGGAAGCGTCATGTCGACCCGCTTCTTTGAAGTTCACCATTGATAATATCCTCAACTCCAAGTCGAGCAGCAGAAACTTTGACAGCTGTCATTCAAAGACTTCGCTTGTGGTGTGTCGGGATGGGTGTCTGCATCATCCCGGAGAGAGCGAGGGTCCATGCAAAGATGGGTCGGATGCAAGATTGCACGCCTTTGGTAAGATATTGTTTTTAATTTAGGCTCACAACTACAACAATGTGCTATTAGTGATTTATTTGTTCAGAAAGAATATCAATAGCGGTTGCCTGGCTTTCAGATAAAGTCAAGATAGATGGAGATGGGAGAGTGGACGCGCTGAAAACCGTGGACGTCCGCAGCGAGAGCACGGACAGCTGCGACGACGCGCAACAAAAGAACAACGGCAAAAAAAATAAACTGATGACGAAAAAGAAAACACGCACTATATTTTCAAAAAGACAGATCTTCCAACTGGAATCTACGTTTGACATGAAACGCTATCTGAGTAGCGCAGAGCGCGCTTGCCTGGCGAATTCTCTACAGCTCACCGAGACTCAAGTCAAAATCTGGTTTCAGAATCGACGGAATAAATTAAAAAGACAACTGTCTACTGACCTGGAGGGACCGACTAGCGATCTCGGTGACATTGGAAAGACGGTACCGCTCCCAGCTTTATATAAAGAGAATAATATTCTCGGAAGGTGCATGCTTCCAATGCCTCTGCCAGTCGTGTATCCTGGAGGTAGTGCGCCTTACTTCTACTTCTCAAATGCCAGCAAGTATTTCAGTATGTTTGATGGAGATATATGACTTAAGACCCTCGCGCAAGGGACATATGCAGTTTTCTTAGCTCTTATAACAGAACCGACAACACGGCCCAATTTTGATAAGCATTGTCTGCCTTTTTGTGAGTTTTGCTGAGAACATTGTTGAGATAACGGTCAGTAAAAAAGCTGGCTTGCATTTCTATGCAAAACCCATTTTATTTATTGTATGCTGTAGACAATTTTATATAAAAAATAACACCTATACCCCAGCCATACTGGCAGAAATGCCAGTGCCAATCATCCTGTCAGTGTCTTCACATGGCAGCAAATTATAACACTAACGTTTTAAGGTTTACATTATTATTATTATTATTATTATTACTACATTTCTGCCAAAGATAGATTATTGATGCATGCATTTGTATTTTAAATGGCCCTCTACTTTTTAAAATGAGCAAATGAAAACGTATTTAAGTGAATGTATTGGTTAATTTGCATTTAACGCATGTTTGTATATGTAGCCTACTATATTCCTTTTAGATTTTTTTTCTCGTTTTAATTCATTTTCAGCATAACCTGGCCAATTAAGTAAGCTACCAGTATTTTATCGAGTGTCATTAAATCTTCTGTTTTACACTTCAAAAGGAAACTTTTGTGTCCTGCCTTTTTTGTACTATAACTTGTTGGTTTAATTAGTTGTTATGATATTGAATCAGCTAGGTCACACTCTCGGATCTTGATTAAACACGTGAGTCTCGTTAACAGTAATACAGTCGCATGTTCTTGAGGAACTATCTATGGCAAGCCAACAAAATCACACTCCGACGACCAAGCATGGACTAAGTCTCAGGATTTTTTACAGATTAAGCATGCGGCTTGTTCCAGAATGTTTCCTCTAAATTACAAAAAAAAAAAAAAAAAAAAAAAAGTATTAAAACTGTATTGCAACAGTGAACTAAATTAGGCACTCAAATAAACGTTGGTGTTTACAAAGCGCTACTGAATTTGTGTATGCAGTTTTATAGTTTTTATTAGGCTATAAACCAGCCTATCTAAAGTAAACTACTCAGACTGTTCAATTATTTATTTATTTATTTTTTCAAATGAATAGCTGAGATTTATTTTATGTGTTTCTGGGAGATCAAACAGAAATACAAGTTTCAAAAGCATATCATTTGTGGTTATTCGAGTGATGAAATTAAAAGTCAGATTAGGCCTATACTGAAAATAATACGATTTTATGGCACACCCATTATTATTTCTAGTGAGGTCATGTTAGGCCACGATATTTTATAAAAGACTGAACCTCAAAAACGTGTCATTTGGTACTGCTCTTCAGCTCTGCGATTCATTCTTGACCTAAATTAAAGTCGCTGAAGACGTGGCAAACGGGCCAACTTGCCATTCGGCGGCACTGGTAAAGAACTAGCCTATAGCATGGTATGGTAGCTTAAATATAAAATGAGTGGTAACATTTTTACTGTTAATAAAAGTTGATGTTCTTTGGGTAAAAAAGTTTCCCTGTCCCTGACGTTAGGCCTATTTGGTCGAGGATAAAGAAGATAAGTTGTTAGTTGTGCGTTTCATTTTATTAATTAGCTAGATAACAGCAAAATTAGTTATTTGCAAACGAGGCTGAAACCTTTTACACGCACATAGGCCAATTACAGATCAGGTTTAATTTTCAACCTAAACTAGCAAATCAATTATTGCTAGTCCATGTCAATATATTTATAAAATTAAATAAAGATAACATTCAAATTCTCTATACATTTTCAAACCTCCTACGGGTCTTGGTATGACTTTTAAAACCGTTTTTAAATAGCCCCTCACTGACATGACACTTCAAATCCGTATAAAACAGAACTTTCACACAAGGCAAAGTTGAAAAACAGATAGCCTAAAAAAATAACTTAAAAATAACTTTACCGATAAGCTAACAGAACACCGCTCATTTTCATACCCTGACTTTGTTCTCATTCATTTGGATAATTTTGAGTCTGAGGCTTACCAATTTTTCCAGTATAAAATCACTCTTTTTACAGAAAAAAAAAGAAAAAAGAAAAAAAATTAAAACTATAAAGTAAAATAAAACATAAATCAATACTAAAACTTAACTTTACATATACTTTACAATTACTCTGGATAAGTGTCATGATTGTTTGAATGCTTTGTAGCAATGATATAGGCTAACCAAAATATAATTTTGAATATTACTACTAAGGAAAATCTCACCACTTCTTAGTGTGTATTTTTTATAGATTCTGATCAGTGCACCAAATTTAGAGAACTTTCAAATCTAAAAATATTAAGATTATGATTGTATATATATATATATATATATATATATATATATATATAAATCACATATTCATCCATCTAAACCACATGTCTTTTAGTTCAGTCAACAACCACTATTGTCAGTCTCATATTCTATCACACATTAGCATTTCTCCATATAAGGTTCTGAAGTAACCAAATACTCAGAGCCTAAGGGCCAAAGTGCCAAAATACAGTGATGCTGTCCACTTTACTTAGCCATTTTTCAACCAGGCAGGGACTCCAATGTGGTTCTGAGGTGGCAAGATAATCACTGTGAATTCAGTATTGGATACCTAACTCCATTGCTACAATACTGCCCATTAACGCATGGTATCTGTTAATGGTCTACAGTCTGCATATGTGTTAGTGGGAGGGGGAGAGCAGACTTCCTGTCTCTGTGAGAGAGTGATGTCTCAATACAGGGAGAACACCTTCTGTCGTCCTGCACTTTGCTCCAAAACCACAAGGTTCAAATGACCTTCCACCCCTCTACTTTATATCCCTGTCCTCATGGCCAAAAGGAGGAGAAAAATCCATTAAAACCAAGGCCTGATCAAAGAAGCCACAACACAAACATGCCATATGTACAGGTTTAGGGGTATCAATGACTGCAGCGGGTTATGGATGTCTCTGTACTATAGTATTGATTAATGGCACATTTAACTAGAATAAATAATGGTTTCGAGTTTCAGAAATCACATGATGTTTTCATATGCAAATATACCATTGTGAATTATTAAAAAAAAATATTTTAAACCATTAATTTCTTCAAAAGACCGGATATCTCATTTACATTCTACAGACGGCATATATACGTTAAACTTATTACCCAGGACCTTGTTTTCCTTTAAAGCCAATAACTGTTCTAAACAGATCAAATCTAGAAGAAACCAAAAATATGATGGTCTTATGTTTGGGTATATGTAATAATGGCCCAACCCATTCAAACTCAAGCTGAATCATCCAAGCACTCCCAAGAGCAATGACGTGTGCACATTTAGGTGCAAATGTGTCAGTGTCTTTATAAAGGTGTGTGTGTGTGCGTTGGCGAGTGTGTCGGGTGTTTGGGTCCTCGAGATAGCATCTCCTAAAGTGGCCTCCTGTCGGCCGCCAGAGACTCTCACATTTCCGAGTGCTCTGATGCTTGCGCTTGACAACAGCAGTCCACAAGGCACCTGAGCTCTGGAAGCAGACATGCTGTCTGCATGATTGACAGCCGATACAGGAAGAGGTGTGGCTGACCATTTAGGAGTGATTATGTAGTCACTTTGCCAAATTAAACCAAAATGAACATTCAGCAGGAAAATTTCATTCATCAAAGACATTTGTTAAAAAAAAAATTTTTGGTAATTCAAATCCAAATCGGATTTTTTTTTTTTTTTTTACAAATGTAACAAAGGTCATGTAAAAACTTATATTTTTTTATTTTACACACATACATATGTGTGTTGCTGTGTGTGTTCTAGGCACACAGTAAGTTCTAGGCTGAACATACCATTCTTCTCCACCCCATGCCTTGTCACAGTCCATCACTTCCTGATGTTCACTGAGCATCAACTATACTGCATACCTCATGTATCCACACACATACTTCAGATGAGAACAAAGAACAACTTAAAAGTGGACATAAGTGTGGACAGCAATTCTCTGTTATGAGGTTCCATTGTCTAAAATATTCTGCACAGTTCTGGGTCAAGTAGACTCTGTTGGGGGTTGTGGTTGCGTTGCGTCTGTACATCTGTACTCATTGTCCCACTTTGTGTGTGTGTGTGCCGTTCTACCCAACTTGGAAGTGGCCTGTGTTGCTGGGGGTCCTCCAAGTACTTTGACCTCAAGACCTTTCTCAGTTCTCTAACA